TGGCCGCGAGCGCGCGGGCGGAGGACATCGAGGTGCTGGAGCCCGCCGATGCGCTGCCCATGGCCGCGGAGGACGTGAGTGCCCGCGCCCGCGAGCCTGCCCCGGGGGAAGGAGGGACCTGGGCTGGGGGGCAGAGGAGCCGCTTTCTTCCCAGGGATGTTGACACGCTGTCATGGCCCAGGAGCTGTCCCTGGGGACCCCCGCGTTCTCCGTCTCCCCCTCCTCTTCGTCGCCTCCAGCCCCCGGGGCCAGGGTGGCCGACTCGGCTGCGTCTCTGGCTGACGACAGGACGCGGCTCCTTCCCGGCGCGAACTCCGCTCCACGTCTCCCCTGTCCCTAATGCTGCTGCTGGTCCTAGCGCTGGGCATCCCGGCTGGATGCGACGCCTGCTAGGGATAGAGCAGGTGCTGGGTCAGGCGTTCGTGAAGGTCTCTTTCTGCACTGCTGCCTCCTTCCTTCAAGGTTTATAACACTGTATAATCCTGCACTTTATAATCCTTCTAGGTTTCTGCACTTTATAATCCTGCTTTTTCTGAACCAGATGTGTCCAGCTGCTCAAATTACCCCCCCACCCCCACCCTTCTGTTCCCCCTCAAAAGATTTGGGAAATAACAGTGCCCTTAGCAAGCAGAATCTTCCTCTCTTTTGGAAAATACCTGGCCTATAATTACTGACCATTGGCATGAACTTTCCCTGTAGAAAATGCTTCACAGGCAGTGTGGAGATGACCCTGCACTCTTTGTGAGCCTAAGGAGTGTTGTGTGTTCATTAACTCACTGGGAGTTTTGGGTGTGCGAGGAAAGCAGGATCATGCCCCTTCTACCCTTGCAATGCCCCTTAGCTAAGGGAAGCAAAGGCTCTTTTCCTGTTAAACTGATAGAGGAGACTGAAGCAGGGAGATGGCAGAGGGCACCGGAAAATTATTCTTCTGAGGCACATGGGCCATCAATAAGAGTGAAAGTAAGATTTGTGAACTCAGGACAAAATAACCTGAACGTCCTTTATCCTCTGATGTCAGAGGGGACGCACAAAAGTCCTAAAGGCTTTCCCTTCTGAAAACATTGGCAGGTTGGTTTTGCAGTTGGATCCTTTCCCAAAGGGCAGGAAGCAAAGCAGAAGTATTTGGAAGAGCTGTGTTCCCAGGTTTGAGCAATACATTTTAGGAATCCAGCTGGAAATGTTAACATTATCTAATTTGACCTGTGATACAACACAGACTATACGGCTGAGTGAAGCCTATTTGAAGAATATATAGAGAGGAGAAACCCCATATGGATGATTCTTTCATGTAATATTAAATCCCCGAACCCCCAGCACTTATTTGTCTTTGATTGTGTTTTCCGGTCCCTCTGGTTAGTGCAGTACTTGCATAGCTGGATTTCAAGAAAGAGTTTGTGTTTCCTTTCCCCAGTGGGAGAGATGCCTCTGAGCTGCTCTCGTCTGTAGTAGCGTCGAGTCATTAGCAGTTTGCTCCAGCAAGGAGCCCAGCAGCTTCACCCTGAGTTAAAGCCAATAGAGGCTGAAGGTGCGGGCGGGGGGGTGAAGTCTAGGTTAATGCACATGACAGTACCTAGATAAGGGTCTCATCCTGCCTTTGTACATGACCTTGGGTGTAAAGCATTTGGAGCCTGACTTAACCCCACTGATATCAAGAGAAGCACTCCAGTGAATTCAGTGGGGATTCGATCTACCCTTTTCAGCTCCTTTTCCCCATCTGTAAAATGGAAATAACTTCCACCTACCTGCCAGTGGGGTAAGAGGCTTGTTTCACCAGGGAAAAGGGTGGCCCATCAACATCCTTGAAAAGTATAATTTATGTGCAACCTGTACATGAAATGAGAGGGGAGATGGTGTAAATGCCTCTCCTGCCTGTTCTCGGTCCATAATTTTAGGCTAGCAGGCTGCAGACTATCCTCTTTGAGAATTAAAATCACTTTGTGCAAGGAGTACACAGGACCAAACTGGAGTTCAGTTCAGAAACTCAAGGTATGCTCCTTAGCTTGTCAGACAAGACCTGATCCGCAATCAACCTTTATACTTCGTTAACCATTGGAGAAGTGGGGACTGTCTGCTTGCAGCTTTGCCGTGATGTCATTACCATGTTCACGGTGACGTTAAATGAAGACAGGATTTGAACAGAGTCCTGTTGAAAGCATTAGGCAGATTTACAGTGATGAATGGGAGTTTAGGAAGAAGAGCCATGCAAAAAATCCCCAGCCTGAGCAATCAGTGAGAATCCAATGAATTAATGTGCAAACTATGTCCCCTCGCTTCAATTTTTGGGCTTTGCTTACCACATGTAATGACATACTATTCACTCTCTATGTAAGACTTTAACCAGAGCTCTATTTGACATAAGATAGAGCAGGTGCTTTTTTATGTAGAATCTGGTGCTAATTTTTTCCCATTTGGTGTGTTAGGTGAGTGAGCGAGATGCAAGTCGAGAGTGTTGTGTGGTGATCGGGGATCAGGGGGTCAAGCACCCTTCTGGTACTACTTTTTCTTGGGACCCTGCAGCAGGAGTTACTGTGTCCCACTAGCAATGCTACATGGAAGCTTCAACCTGCTTGTCCTGCCCTGAACAATGGAGGGAGGGCATTCTTTTATGTCAGATTGGACACTTCAATAGGGAATGACATGTTACTCATGTTCCCTCTGCTGGGATGGAGCGTGAGCCTGATGGGATGGGTGGGGAGAGCCTTAGAATCCAAGGCAGTCCAAAATGTGAAACATGGTCGCTGATGGGCTTCATGAAAGACTCTGAGCCTGCTAAAGGCTGTGTAAGCACTAAGCATGGATTTGCCATGTGCAAGGGGGATTCTTGTGCATGCAGATCGGTGTGCATCCAGATCGTGGGGCAGCTCTGATGCTATTGGGCAGATTTAATAACTGCCCTTAGCACTTGACCTTTCCAAAGCACAGTGTAAGTGTTAATCCTCAAAATGAGCCCCTCCCTGTGAGAGCTGAAACTGCCCCTCTTTCCCTTTTCACAGATGTGGACATTAAAAGTAGGGGGACTGTGACCTGCTCCAGGTCTTGCAGTGCATCACAGTTGGCATTGAATGATGCAGCATGAATGCCTGGCTCTTGGTCCACGTACCCCCTTGGTTATTTGTCTAAGTAGATTTCTTAGATGCATTCTAATATCATTGCTCTTATACATTTTTTTTTCTTTTTTTTTTTCCTTCTTCATGCATTGCCTCTTACCTCTCAGCACTGGAAAGCTCTGTTCGATCAGGTATGTGAACAATGCAGATATGTTGTCGCTCTTTGTCTGGTAAGCAAGGCTCTAACACCTGCTCGCTCTCCTTTGTGTGTTTTCCTGCTTTGCATTTTGTTGTCAAACTAAGTGTTAGTATATGGCCCAGGTGAATCCAGTTCCCAATGGGCTGGTATCCACATCTTGGTCACCACTGCTACTTGCATTGGCAGCCCCCACAGCACCCACAGTATGGAACGGGTTCTGGACACTGAACTTTCTACTAGACCCGAATCAGAGCCGAGGCATGGTGTGGGCTGGGGGCGTTATACTTACAACCAGTTGTGATTTATCTGCTCTGTGGATGGAAGGACTCTCTTGCAAGTCAGCAGCTTCCAAATGATCACTGCATGCTTTGGGCTAGATCCTCAGCACAAGGATATTGCTTGCTATACCCACATATTCCAGCAGAGGACCTAATCCTTTAAGTTTCAAAAAAATGTTTCCATAATTTTATCAACTAAATATAATAAGTCAGACCCTCCGTGGGTTTAAATTGCTGTAGTTCCCTGGAAGTGGATCAGTCCAGGTTGATTAATACTGGTTGAGAATCTCGATCCTGGAGTCTAGTTTTTTAAATGATGCTTTTAGATGCTTTTCCTAGCATAGCTGCTTTATGACATTCCTTTTGGCTGTCAGGCTGAAATGCTAAGTATATATAACAAACAGGGTTTTTTGGTGGCTTTTTTTAAGGGTTGACTTGCTCCTAAGCTGTACTGCTATCTTCATGTCCTAAACTTTTGTGCTTGTGTGTGTGCGTGCACGTAAGTATCCCTGTCTGTAAGTGAGCTGTTACTCTTCCCCGGGCATTGCTCTGGCAGTACTAAAGTGCTGATGGGATTTCTTCACTGCTTTACAAGTCAATAACCCTGCTCCTTGAATGTGGAGAAACTGCAAAACTGGAGGCTGTGGTGCAGTCGCTCCAATGGGTGCCCTTCCACTGCAGAGGGTTCAGTTAGTATTCAGCAAACGGTACAACTGCCAGTCGCGATGAGAGTCCATTTATAACCCAGTGAGGTACGATTTCTTATTAATCTATAAATCTGGGCTGAATAGCGTTTGCCATCACACACCATAGCGAAGTGGTGGTTGGAGGGCGCAGGAACGAGATCCTTTTAATGGTCAGTCACTTAAACCTGCAAAGTAGGTTTTAATTTGTTAGTGTTCCACTGAGTCGTGTCAGCAGCTCAAGTGCCAGAGGACTCGCTCATGATTTGTTTCAGCCATTCTGAATTCTTTTTCTCATTTCAAAAGTTTGCCTTAATTTGCCTGATCCTGCCAACTCCCTGGCTGTGGTCTTGGAGCCCCTGCAGGCTGGGGGCCAAGGCTGGTAGCTGCCTCAGGCTTAGAGGGGAACAGGTAGGGGTGCAGAGGACTTGACTGAATAGCAAAAGTGTCTCTTTAAAGACCGGTTTGATGGTGGTGGGACTTGTGGAACATTACCCTAATGATGAGGGAAACAGACTGTAAAGCAAGTTCCCAAATAATTAGCCATGTTTCAATGAGGGCTGCAGCTGGAAATTTAAGCCCTGTCCATAAGGCTTTATTATCAGAGAGAATGCAGCTTGTGAAAAACCAGTCCCAAGTCCCGAGTAAATCAATAAAGCCCTTGTTGCCTGTGGGCAAAAGCAAAAAGCTGGCGTCTTCCTTCAGTGTTATATCAGGAAGACAGAAAACCCATTAGCTGCGCAATGAATAGTGAGATGCCGTTCGTCATGAAACACGCTCCGAATATCTAGGAACTCACTGCGTCAACAGAGGGGTCTGTGTTTTGTTTGAACTCTGGCTGGAGTCTGCATGAAACGTGAGCACAATAGAAGGCCCCCCGCTGCAATGGCGAGAGGACATACATGCACTGATGTCCCTGACAGTTATGGCTCCGTTACCATGCAGTGCTAAACACGAGTCCCTCTGCATGTTTGCCTGGAGGTGGAACAGGTGCCTGGGAATCCTCCTGCTGGGCGCGCTCAAATAAGGGAGGAATTGTCCTGCCCGGAGCACTGGCCTCCTAGCTCTCCGATACAGGGTTCAGTGTGGTGGTGTCCTTGCTCCCTGTCTGCCTGTAAATCTCTCCATTCACCACCCTGGGGGAGAATGGTAGTACTGGTGACTGGAGGGGGCAGGGGTGAGCAAAGCAGATGAAAACTCTAGGGAGAATTCGCAGTGGGAGAGGTGTGATCTGGGCTCTGATTGCAGGGGTGATGGCATGCAAGGGTCAAGGGAGTAGTTGGAGCCGGTGGTAGTCTGCCACCGTGTGAAACATCACAATAAAAACATCTTTCCTCATAATTTGTAAAAACTTCTTTTTGGGTTTCCCCCCAAAATTTCAGACTTCTTGGTTCAGATGTACAACATTGAAAATTTGGACATTTCCTATAAAAATATAAATCTTTTGTTTAAAAAAAATTGTTTTTAATCAAAACAGGAGGTTTTAGTTTAAAAAAAATTTTTTTGTTGGTGAAAAGCTTTTGGCCAGCTCTGTTGAATCTCACTGGTCACCATAAGTGATCCATGTCAGTGTTCCCTTCTACAGGGGCAAATTGTGCCTAGGACACCAGGCTGAGAATGCCAGTGCTTAGATCTAAGGTCACCACTTATTTAAATTAGGGTTGGCAAGCTGGTCTAATAACTGGCCAAATACTGTCAGTTGACTGGTCAATTTACTGCGTATTTTTTGACCAGTCAAAGATTACAGCCATTTTACATAATAACTTTTTTTTTTTAAAGTGTTCTTGACAGAAATATGATTTTTTAATTGTTTTTGACACATTTCTTAATGGAAAAATTGTGCTTTTTCTGTGTATTATTTGGACCTTTTGGCAATTTCTTACAATTTGGGACCAATATTTGACTGGTCAGTTGACCGAACATTATTTGACCAGTCAAATACCCAACTCTAACTTAAAAGATCTAGCTTAGGTGGGGGTTCATATCTGACTACTGCTCTGTGAGGATCTAATAAATGTCTCGAGGGTAAAATCCTGGCCTTGCTGAACCCAATGACAAAACTGCTCTGAACTCAGTGGTGCTGGGATGTCACCCATGGATCCTCCTGGAACTGAGCAGCCAGCATTGCAGCCTGGCAGTTGAAGTGCAGTGCAGCTGCCGCTCCAGGTGCTGCTTTTGAGGATAGTTTTATTTTAGGGACGTGGCACTAAGTCACTTTTATATGGTAACGTTTACATGGATGCATGCACTTATTTATTGTGCTCATAAACACCCTCCACCACCACCCAGGCCATTGCTCTGCATCTGCTGCCTCTTGGGGGGCTGAGTTGCTTCTGAGCTCTTTGCACATTCTTCCCTGTTTTGACTCGAGACTCCGAGCAGAGCCAGCTTGCTCCCTTCCCCCCATCAGGTCTCTTAGCTTTTCCTTTGTAGAGGACCCCTGTTTTTGTTAAGCACAGAGACGGATTATGTGACGGGTGTGACAGCTTTGGGGAGCAGGGTCTGGCAGCGTGAAGGTGGATGTGGCAGTTGTCCTTTGTTTTCCATTAGTAACGTTTTGCACTGATTCTCTCGTTCTCATGCAGGCATGAAGGGAGGTTGCCCAGTTCTCATGTTGGGGCAGGGTTCACCTGGTTGTTCCAGTGGAAGGCTGAGTCAGGCCCCTGGCCCTCTTCCCCGATCAGCGGTTATCTCAGGCAGATGTTATCTAGCCCTCTTTGTGCCTCAGTTATCCCCATTTGGGAGAGGACTACGACTCTGTTGTTGGGGGTTGAAGTCCTTGGACATGCACAGGATAACAAAAGACCCACAATTGTGCTTCTTTTCCTCTGGAGTATGGGCTTTTCAGAACCTTATTAGTCAGGATTTGAACCCAGCAATAGTCTGGACCAGACCCCACTTTATCCAAGTCCCTGCCGTTTAAACTACCCAGAAGAGGGGTTCCTGGTGTTGGCTTCCCTCCTTCAAGTTCTCCCTTCCTCTTGCCCATGCCTTGGAGACTATCTCTAGTGACTTATTTGTGTAACTATGCATTCAATAGACAAGAAGCTCTTCGCTAGACTGGTACTTCGCGGTTCTCTTTCGGTGCAGCCTGCATTTTGCGTGGCAGCATGGATTCCTCTCTGAACTTGGTGCGTGGGTGGGATGGTAACAGATGAGCAGAGATTACCAAGAATCTTGAGACGTGCAAAATTAAACTCTGGCTGTGTGGGCAGCTAGTGGAGAGCCAAGGCTCAGTAGCAACACTACCGAGACATCCTGGCAGATCATGGAGCTCCTATCTGTGCTAGGAAAAGCTTACCCATGATCACCAGATCAACATTGGGTGCACCCAAATCCAACTTGCCTGGTTCAGAACCCCTGGTTAAAAATTGCTTTGACCAAAGCCTATTTTCCTCCTGGCCAGAGAAGCCAGGTCTGTTTCCTGCAGTAGTGGAGACCCAAATGCAACAACCTTGTGCTAATATATGGAGAAGGACTGAGCCAGAAAGTGTAAGTGAGCAGGATGAACCTGCTGCAAATATCAAACAGCCTGGCCAGGGGCTTGTCAGTGAAGCAGTTGAGTTTTTTCAGTGTAGGGCTGGTCCCGTGTCACTGAGAGTGCAAAGGTCTTTGTAAAATAGGGCTTGCTATAATCTAAGCTGATATGCCAGGCACTATTGGCTGTATCCAGAAAAAGTAGCCAAATGGTTTAATTTGAGCAGTTGGTACATTTTTGTACAGACAGGTTCACTTTTCTCCTCTGTAGACATGCATGCTTGTCTTCAGGGTTTTTCTCTCAAGAAAAAGTTGTGGAGCGGAAAGGGCTCTTAACAAATATGCGGGCTGACAACCTGATATGAAGCCTGCTGAAGAGATGCCCACAGGCAAGACTGAGTTGTGGAGCCGGCATCCCTCTTTTTCCCTATCTGCCTTCCCAATTGAATTTGGACACTTGGTAGGAGTGCCCAGGGATTTATTTCCCCACCCAACTCCCAACCAAGACAGGGGGTGGTGGAAGGGGAAAAAGGACTTAGAAGTGAGCCGAGCTC